GTGGATCCCTAATCCCCGACTGCGGCAGATCGCAGGCTGGTCTGGATCCATGTTTCGGTCGCAAACCCATTATTGTTGGTTTTGCGTGACGCGTGCTCAATATATTTTGACACCAAGGTAAGTGAATTAACAGTTAACCGTTTTTATACCTAACACGCTGTCGGCCATATTACATGCAATCATAATCACATTCTTTGTATTAATGTAAATAAAAATTCTGACAATTATTTTCATTTTATTTATTCGTCTAAATGGTATAATGATTTCAATAAAAAAGAAATGTTTTGTTTCCTATTTTTGTTTAAGATTTTGGTATTCATTTAAGAAAAAGGTTAATATAAATAAGAAATATAAAACATTGTACAAAACTTAAAGAAAAGTAAATAAATTGAAAAGAGCGGAGTCTTTAAATTGACTTATGTTTGCATCAAATAATGGGAACTTTGTATAAAACTAAAAACTGCGAACATAAACAAGTATTTCTGCTCGTTTAAATTATGAAGACTGAGAAACAATTTTATCTTAAAATTTATAACCTTATTTTTTAGAAGTACTAAACCAATTTTCTTTTAAAACATGTTAATCTAAATCTGATAATTTTGTTATTATATTGAATAGATAAAACATAACCTATTTTTCGGCTATCAATGCATAAATTACTATAAAAATAAATAGATTTGAGTGTCCTCTTTTCGAATATGAATGCTTTCCTTGCACATAAATATATAATGAATTTGATTCAGACACCTAAGACTAGATATATATATAAGAGATAGATAATTGAGATCGAGCTTCAAGATTATGAATGTCCAATTATGAGCCAATCAAGCATACACAATAAGTGTGTCAACAACTGATTAATCCTTGTAAACTACCCATGTCCAGGGGCTTGGTAATACCTTGACATCTTCGTGTTTAAATGTCGTTAATTTTTAACTCGGTGTCTTTTTTACCCTGAAAGGCAGTTAATGATTAACGCATTTTAACAAATGCCCTTTTCATTTTTTTTGTTTTTGCAATTTTTCATACAAATAATCAATTAAACAAGATACAGTTTAGAATCAAATCAAACTCGTACCTCCCAGTCCTAAATTTAGGGATATATTCCTGCTTTAATTATACAATATATAGATATATAGATCAAGATATATACATAACACAGAGATTTAATAACACAATCAGTTTAACCCTGAAATAAGCTGTTTGTTGCACAAAATCAACTATTGCTATTGATCGCATAGTGATAATTGCCAACATAACAAATAACTGTTAACCTACTTGTTTTGGCAAATATCTAATTTTAATTTACTATCCATTTCCAATCACGGTTCCTTTTTTCATTTGCCGCCTATTCGATTGTTGATAGGATTCACCGTGATACAAAACCAACGTTTAAACTCATTGGCTGTTTTGAAACGCGTGATATGCCTAGATACCTGTTTTGTAGCATTAATTTATATTAAGGTCCGGATAATGCGGAAGAAAGCAGATACTAAGACGGCTTTATTCGATCCAAAATAATGCAATATTACATGTATTTAAATTGGAAATATCATGTGTCCATAAACGATAACTTTGCATACATGTATAACATAACCATTGATACATTTTCATAGGCAAAACTTTGATTTCTAATGCTCAATCGGTTATTTATTTTTTTGAATAATAATAATAATAATAATAATATTAATAATAATAATAATAATAATAATAATAAAAATAATAATAATATAATAATAATTATAATACTTTATGATGATGGTTGATGATGATGATGATAATAGTGATAATAATAATATAATGATTCTGATGATGATGATGATGATGATGATAATGATGATGATGATGATGAATGATATGATGAATGATGATGATTGATGATGATGATTATGATGATGATGATGATGATGATGATGATGATGATGATGATGATAATAATAATAAAAAAATAATAATAATAAAAAAATAGTAATAATAATAATAAAATGAAATATAATAATAATAATAATAATAATATAATAATAATAATAATAAAAGAAGTTTTAGAAGCGCTAAGAAATATTTATAAATTACACAAATTTTTGTGACAACAACAATAATAAGCGGTGTAAAACAAAAGACCCACATTAAATTTACACATAGGACACAACGCCCCCCCCCCCCCCAGTCCATCAAACAAAAGCCTCCCTAAGTTTATAGACCAGACTGATTACTATCTATTTTTGCACCCCAGTGTTCGGGAACTTTGGTTATACTTCAAATATAATCTAGACAAGTATGCGCCTTTCACTTTTATTTTCTTGATAAGCTTTGAAAAGCGATTCTCTGGAAATATTCATTTACATTTGTACTGCACAATATAATAATAAAGTAAACATTAAAAACATTCATATCATCATATGAATTATAAGTACGAATTACACAATAAATAAAAATTAGAACTTATTGTACCTTCTAAATTTAAATCCTGTATTCAAACCTGTCAATTTTTATGGGGGGGCGAGGCTTGGCTTTTGTCCACCTTGTCATGTTTAGATGGGAAGGGGGGGCTTTTTGTTTGTATCCCCATTAAATAAATAAATTTACTTACTTATACTTATACACATAAATGAAGTATAAAAGTCCTTTCACATTATCTGCGGATTTCATAATAAAAAAACTAAAAACTTATTATTAAGTTTAGATAATTCGAGTATCGGTAAATTTCGAAAGTCCAATTTAAAAAAGTGATTTTACTATCAATATATAATTTAGTTATGTTCTTAACTTGAAGTTTTTAAAATCAAAACTTCGGACAATTTTTATTTTTTTTAACAGAATTTACTTTTACATAAAAAGATACATAATTTTATTTTAAACCAGGTAACAAATGTTAATTTACATAGCACGGCCATGTTTCCCTGTCCTGAACAATGTTCAAGTCACCGAATTATGCAGGAACACGGCTGATGTGAGACGAGGAAACTCGGGAGATGATGATGATATTTTTCAAGAATGCTATATCGAATAATTGACATCATCTATCAACAATACATGTACAAACACCCAGTGACATCCATCTGATTCTAGCTTGTGAACTTAGATATAATTGGACCTGGCGCAGGGTACTTCAAAGTTTACTTTAAGATAAATCTTAATTGTGTCTTGTTTAAATGACGAATTCCGCCAAATTAAAGGGATAACAACAACACGACGCTGCAAAAAAGCATTGGAAAGAAATACAGCAGCTATGTCTGTTTCATTTTAATATGTCGGGTTAGAGTCTTTATAATATCTAGAACAAAATCACATAGGATTACAATTTAATTCCCTTATTTCGTACATGAATTATATTTAGAAATTGAACAGTAAAAAATACCGTTAAGACATTCAACACCAATTGCGCTAACTTACCTAATCGGAGAAAACCGACACTCGATATGCCCCTGCTGCGTTTATGATCAATATCCGGATCAATATCCTGCTTAATCAGTATTGTCTTTCGATTATGGCAATACAGCACGTGGCTATTACACAATATTATGTCATAAATGAGACCGCGCGAAAGAAATCAAAATTGGGGAATTCGGAACTTCATAAGATTTCTATTCAAAACTTGTGTACAGAAACGCAAATCTTTGTTTCCTGAAATAAAAGATTAAATAAATAAATAAATAAATAAATAAATAAATAAATAAATAAATAAATAAATAAATAAATAAATAAATAAATAAATAAATATATGAATAAATGAGTAATGAATAAATGAATGAATGTATGAATAAATAAATAAATAAATAAATAAATGAATGAATGAATGATTGGTTGATTGATTCAATGAATGTATGGAATGAATGAATGAATGAATGAATGAATGAATGAATGAATGAATGAAATATCATTGGTTTTTTTTACATATGCAAGTACATGTATTAGATTATGTATAGCCTATTTTTATAGGACATATATCAACGTAAAATTTAATTGCTGTGTGGACAATCCCGATTTTCGTGATTTCACAATTATTTTAACTTTCACGATTTCAACTTCACAGATCCACGATTTTATTATAATTAATTCATGTTTTGAACATCACAATTTCAACTTTATCATTTTCTCATGTTTGGCTTATCATTATAAAATATTATAATGATAATGAAAAGGAAATTACAAATAACATGATTCACCATAGATGCAAAATGCAAAACAGTACTATCTAATCGTGAATCGCAATTGTAAAGTATTCGCTATTTATCTGCGGGTGTATGCTAAAAAGCAAACCAAGCGGTATTGAGCTAGAATACCGCGTCTTCATGTTACACGGTGGATGTCTTACACGTTCTGTGCACTGAACGATATTATTTGTACGCAATTGACGCGCGTTAATAACTCCAGGAAATTTTGCATTGTGTTAATTGTCAAATGTCTGACAAATATATGATCAGACTATTTCTTAACTCTTACAGGAAATAGGCTATTCAGAAGTAAATTTTCATTCGCTATTTCTATATACAGAATCCGTATTTGCACGAATACGGAATTTCGTATTTTAGTAATATACGGACTTGTTTTAAAAAATTCCGTATATTAGTAAAATACGGACTTCGTACATCAAAGTTCCCGTATATAACGAGTGTACGGAGTTCGTATATGAGTCATATACGGACTGATATAATATACGGTCCCGTACATCTCCGTATTTCAAGTTTCCCGTATTCTTACACGTATATTAATGATATACGGAATTCCGTACACTTCCGTATATCCATGTCTTTTTCGCAGTGATATGATGGAAACAATTCAATGATGACAACAAGTCAAAGATAGCAACACTTCAATGTTGACAACAATTCAATGAAAGCAAGAATTTGGTAATAACAATAGCAATTATTAAAATTTAGATGTTTCAACAACAGCAAATGATTACTAAAGCATTGGAAAAACTGCAATTATAGCAATAGCGGTGATAAAAGGTTATTGACTTAAGTAAAAACTTTAGCAACAGCAAAGATGATAATATATTAACAGCTGTGAAAATAATATTTTTGATAGCTTACAATAAGAAATGTGGCACCAAGCATCACAGCTTTCATTTTAACATCTAAATCCATGGGGACTGGAAACATATCAAAAACGTAAGAATAGTATGTGTAGTTAATAAATGACGTCACGAAAAGTTAACTGCCATAATTAACGGAGTCTTCTTATTACATTTACGATACAGGTATAAATAAGATGCATAATATAAAGCAATAAATGTATTAAATAATCTGTAAAAAGACATGTATTGAATAAGGTACTGAAATATGAAAGTAGTGTCATTTTAGGTTTTTTTGTTGTTGTTTTTTTTTGTTGTTGTTTTTTTTTTTTTGGGGGGGGGGGGGTCAAATTTTAAATGAGTTCTAACGCACATTTTATTAAACATTTTGGCGACTTCACTTTTATCTGACGCTTTGCCTTGGCTAAGACATAAACTTGGATAGGCAAAACAAGGGAGTAAATTGTATCAGACGTTGTGACCATTGACAGATCACAGATAAAGTCATTACCGTAAAAATATTTTCGGGGGTAAATTGTACCAGCCATGTTTTTATCGTATAATAATATAAAGGAAGGTAATGAAAATATATTACAGATTGGGTTAGAATAACGCTTAAATTCGGTCTATTTGATGATGAAAATCTATGTACATTGTATATATGAAACAATTCAAGGCACCTCGCCGATTACCCAAAATCTTGTTTCCGAAGCTAGGCGGAAAGGTCCGAAATGTTACCAATTTATACTTACACGTTACACCAAAATTATCTGCTGACGTGAACATTTCTTGAAGAAGATTGCCCCATTGCTTTTGAATTTTCCCTACTTCTGTCTCCCCATCGGTTGCGGAGAAAATCTAAAACAAGGCAATTGTAAAATTAACAACAGGTACTAAATTGACATCGACCAATCAAAACTGAACGATGGCAAACTATATAAGTACAAGATATACAAGTATGTGACCATTATCGAATAAGAAATATGACAGTTGGTTTAAATATACTCTATTCAGAATATACATGTGTAAGTAACAACATTACAATAATTAAAGACTTTGACACAAAGCAAAAACTTATAGAAGCCATTATAAAACAATTTTTTATGTCAGTGGTGGTTGTAATAAAGAAAACAAAATCTTGACAGTTGTGCAAGGGTTTCCTTAAGGCAGTATGTTTCCAGATTCATGCTAATTTTCATGATAATTTGGAAAGTGCATTTTAAAGTGAAATATTTTGAAAACAAACAAAAGAAAGTAATTTACACGTTGCAAACGGTTTTTACAAGCTTAAGCCACATAAATTACCAAAATGAGGTCAAAATATGCAAAAATAGCCCATACTGCGTAAGACAAGCTAACACAGTAGAAATACGGTGATAAAAGCTGCAAAATATGTAAGTCTTTTATCGCATAAACACATAAATAATTACTTGAATCTTGAATCTTTTAACTTTTTATAATCTAAGTACATGTACATTTTTCCGGTTTGATTTGTTTGCATTATTTTGGCTCCTCTGGAGGCATGCAACTTTTAAATTGCCAAGTTCACTTGACGTCTAGAATCATCCGCACTGTAACTTACAAATTTAAACACAATTATAGCATTCAAACGTGCGTTTACACATGCAATTTTATATTTGTTAGAAATATTTTCTCGCTACTGACCTGAGGGAAAATGACAAAAAAATCAAAGGAAGGCACAAATAAATTGAAAAGAAGAAATAAAGTCAAAAGGCAAAATGCAAAACAATACGGAGCCAGGAAATAACACAAAATTGGGATTAAAGAGCTTATAAAGAAATAAAAAATAAGGAAATAAAGGGTGAATAAAGAAAATACGAAATTAAGGTTGACTAAAAGAATAAGCAAATAAAGGGAACAAAGGTCTGTAAAAGAATTGGCACATATAGAAATAAAAGGTAATTAAAGGAATAAGCAAATATAGGAAATAAAGGGCAACATGTAAAGTGTAAGTAAATAAATGGGTAAATTAAAGGATATAATGTGAACCGATAAACAGTTAAATGCAAATATCGGAAATGACGAGCAACACAAATAAACCAAAACCAATACAAAGAAAGGGAAATTAAAGAGCAGATAAACGAATAGTCAAATTGACAATGAAAAGAAATGTATGAAACCCAATGTATAAAGTATAAAAATCAATGCTTAATTTAGTTATCTTCCTAATTCCTTTAAACAACAAAAAGCTGTATGCAAGGTTTTTTTTTCTATTATGGATTATAAATGGATTTCTTACTGTAAAATTGACGTCACAAGGGCAGCCTTGGAAGACGCAACATGGACCTTCTATGTAGAGAACGTCCTTTTCATCGGCGTCCATTATCTTATACTTTGGAGCCATAAAACTTGGTCTGTAAAAAGTAATAGGTACGATAGATTCTTATATGATTAGTAATTTTGAATTGACGAGCAAAAGTACATCAAGAAAACAGCAATTAGACCTCACGTATACCCGTTATCATTAACAGTGATTCAATAGATCTAATACATTTTTTGTTTGGTTAAACCGACTTTGAAAATGTCATATGGTGACATGCTTGCTTAAATGGAAGAATAAAACAACGCATACACTAAAAATAGTGCACCAGCCGCACACCCTAAACCCCTGAAAGAAACCCCGACCTTCCATAAGCTAGATAGATAGCTTCATTACCATGAAACAATCCAATGTCACTGGCGGTATTCGAACCAACAGAAGTGAGGCTCAAATGATACTAAGTCCGCACTCGGCCAGGAGGCAAACACATTATGATGATTAAAATAAACAGGAAAGACCTTGTTTTATTTCAATAAGGAAATAAAAGGAATAATTGAAATAAATTAATCACAAGACATGTAGAGGTTATTAGAGGGCGTTATATGTTGGTGTCAATTTTTACTTGGCACAATATCATAAACTAGATTATCAAAACTATCAAGTAGAATAAAACCATAAACTTATTTCCGAATTCATATACTGACATTAAAGTAACAAGATTTCAATCAATGCAAAATCTAACCTTTGCTGCACGTAGCCGACGACAGTGCCGACGGGAGCTTCGACGGCGATTTTGTGGGCACAACAGTCAGAGAAGGCACACCAGTTCGATTCTTTCCAGCACCGGAACTCGCGCTGAAGCCTGATAACTTCCTGTAACAAATGTTTGATTTAGTGGTATGATAAACATATGAAAGGGTTATCAGTCCGACGGACAGTAATGTCAGCGCTAGAAATGGAAAGAAGTTCACATTATTGAAATACATTTGTTTACAAGGGACACCCTTTTTTAACCCTTATTCTGCCTTTTACAGTAATTTAGAACTAGGCCAGTCTCATCGCCGTGCAATCTTCAAATTTCTATAATGCTTGTACTTCAATTGTTGCAATCTGATATTAAAATCACTTAACTTTCGAATGCAAAACAAGTTAAATCAATAACTTGTATTTAAAATCGGCCGGACTGTTTACTTTGTATCAATATCATTATGACTATGATCAGTCTTGTCCATTAATTATAAAGCAGCAATTTGACGGTGGATGAACACCTTTAAGTGACTTCAAAGCACATGTACATTCTCTAAATAATTTGGTAGGCAGTAAAAATATGCTTTTCCATCATTGTTGTTAGCTTTTTGACTTAATGGTTTAGAGCAATGTGATCACTAAGGGCGACCTCAATAAATCCTCTTTACAGAGAAAGACGAGTAACTGGAGTACTACAAAGACTCGTCGAAGTATATTTATAGGGTGAACTGAAGACCGCATTCATTTAGAATCCTTTAACAAATCGATACAGCGTTCAAAACTTTATCTACTTGTTAAGGTCTCAACAGACGGTAGGGGCTATTTGTAAAACACTAATGAAAGATATGATGTATCATTTTCAAAGCTAAACAACACTTACATTCAGACCGTAATTCTATATTTAACAAATCATCAGGTTTCCTTTTCAAATATTTCCCGCCAAATGGATCCCCACAATTATTACTTGAGTCGCGCAAATGTTTATAATTGTTGGTATTGACCAATTACGAGTTAGACCAAGAGACTCAGCCATAGACAGCAAAAGGGGGGGGGGGCATTTTGGAAACTTCCATGTCCTAAATAGATGGAATAACTGAGATATATTTCGTATCTCATCGGAAAGCACATTATAAAATAACATTAACTTACGTGGTCCAAGTTGTCGGTTATATGCATAGTGAAAGATCTGTTTTCTCGACAACACTGTCTCATACACGTCTCTGACTCTAAAATAACAAAAGGTAAACATAAATCTGAAGTAAGTGTATTCTTTAAGAGATTAAACTCACAACTGTGTTGGAGCAGTACCTCTAGACGCTTGCAGAATCATGATCACAAAGTAGAAAAATATAGCCTTCGCGCCGATTCTGACATTTTTCATTCATTTTCGTATATAAATCGGTATGAAGAGATGAATAACAATATTCCACAACTGATGGGTTTCTGCGTCGCGCCAACACAGTATAGGTCATATGGCGAGTTTCCAGATTTAGTGGTGGAAAAAAAGTCTCAGGTACACGCCCTTTTGTGCAATATTTCAGGTTCGAACGGACACCTGAATAGAACCAAAGACTTTCCGTAAGCTAGCTGAAAAACTTCCTCGCATGAAATAATCACTGCCGGGATATGAACCCACAGCGATAAGGGCCAAGTGGTTTAAAGTCAACCCTAACCACTCGGCCACGGATGCCCCGAATAAAATAATTTAAAGTGTGATGTACTTAATGTAAAATACAGATAATTATACATTTTACTTACCCTCTTTGGCAAATAAACTTGTTGTCCCAGGGTATTAAGAATTCTATATTTATTCTTTGCTTCCCAGTTTGTAAACACTGAAATTTCAAATGAATTAACGTGAAATTTAAATATCATATTATAAGTTATATATATTATATGAGTAACACAGGTACTGTAAATATAATAAGATAACTTTTCTATCTTTACTGCTTGAGGAAATCAACAAATTATCCTCTTGTCGTGTACCGCCAAATCAAGAGTGTCCCCACTTTATTTGTCGTGCTATCATTTTAATGAAGTGATGTACAATCACATTCATTATGTCGTGTTGTTGCAGCAGCACAGCTGCTTATTCACCACCAAGGCTAAACGTGAAATACACGACGCCCACTTCACATATCTGAAAAAGGGTGCCTACTATGTATATGATATACAGGGTGGCGGCGTAGTGATCAGTGAACCATGGTTGCCTTAAGCAATATAAGACATTGAAAAGGATCAAGGAATAAAATAAAGTCAGAGGTTTCATGTAAAATTTAGATCTAAGAAACAGTCAACTTAATTTTCATTAAAAAAATCGAAAACTCGTTCTTTGTGTTGACTATGACTTAATTACGTATATAACTCTTAACAAAGACATTTTAATGGCTGATATTGAATAATAGTGATAATAATAACATCACAAATGTGGCCATAAGTTTTTACTACAGTTATGATTGGTAAGACTTATTTCCCTGTTGGCATAAAAATTGTATATTTACATTCCATTAGCTCGATCTTTTGTTTGATGAGAATTTGGTCAATCTGGGTCAGATATTCTAGTCCTTGGGGACAATTTGGTGCTCCTGTTGCTGGTTTTGGCATCCATACTGGCGGGGGAGGCTGAGCACTGGCCATAACACCTACATAGGTAAGTGTAAAATATAACTTAAATTAATGTTGTAAATAATAGGATCTGTAAATTAAAAAACACACATACACACGAATTGGATCCGTGTCAAGTACAAGCAAATATTAGAATTAGGTATTATTATACTGAAGTGTTTAGTATAATTACAAGAGGTAGATTATCCGATATTTTCTTGATAGATTACCATATGCCATTACTTAATATCGTGTTGAAAAAAAAACACACAAGGTAAAAGCATGATAGAAATATTCATATATTCATAACACTTAGAAGTTTCCTGAAAAAAAATACAGCGTCCCTGGAATTATGATTTTTAAACAACACTGTATTTATAAATTGTATATTTTCCTATAAGTCTGCTTTTTTAATTAGTTTTAATCATTTAGAAGTTTGCATATGCAATGAATTATTGGAGTATGCAACATTAGTTTTTATTTAAAAAGTTATTTCTCGCCTTGTATCAAAGTACATACCTCCAAGTCCTCCATACATAGCTTGTTGTCCAGGCTGACCTGCAATCGGTTGTCCAAGTTGCCCTGCATACGGTTGTCCAGGCTGACCTGCAATTGGTTGTCCAAGTTGCCCTGCATACGGTTGTCCAGGTTGCCCTGCATACGGTTGTCCGGGTTGCCCTGCATATTGTTGCCCGGGTTGAAGAGGTTGTGAATACACGGCTTGCTGTCCAGGTTGGGCGTCCACGACTGGTTGGGCTGGAGCGACTTTTAAAAAAAGAATCTTTTCATTTTAATAACTGTATGTGTTAAATTATTGAAACATTTCACTATACGGCGTCATAAATCTATGAAAAAGGCAACAGGGGAAATAAATGGTGTCCTTATCATGCCATTTAAATATCGGATGACTAATTAACCCTTTACCTCATATATACGCGATACAACGCACTTTCGACACCCCCCCCCCCTTCTTAGGCCTGAAATAGTGAAAAAATGTCCTATTTGGGCCCCAAACACATGTTTTAGTTTGAGAAATGTTGCTAAAAAAAGTGAGCACTTTTTCGGCGCCGCCCCCCATCCAAAAGATACATCAGGGGGTTGCCAGAAGGGGGATGTGCCCCCTTCTGTTTGGGGGGGGGGTGAAGGGGGCAGGGTCCCCCTCATCGCCAAGAAAATTTTGGACTTGTGAGAGGCTTAAAATGGCCCCACGTCGATCATAAGGTAACGTGTAACCAACGCTGAAAAGCCTTTGACTCTATAACCAACGCTGAAAAGCCTTTAACTCTATCTCAATCCCTTGAGAAGTTGCAGCACTTTGAAATAAATTTTGATGAAAAAAATCGAGGCAAAATAGTGATTTTTGGCAATTTTGAGATGTCCCCTCGTTGCCATGGTAACAGCAAATTTAAGACTGAGCATGTCGTTACAGAGGCAATGGTTCAGTCAACATTTGTGCCAAGTTTGATTAGTATTGAAGCATTTTTCATAGTTTCATAGCAGTTTGAACTTGTAAGAGGAGGCTTTTCAGTGAAAATGGCCATTTTTCACAATATGCTCATGGGGGAAAGGGTTAACGCCACGACAAGGTCACTGTATTATTCACCGATAAATTAAAAAACCTCGTTGAATCAAAGAAGATGCTCTGCTTAAAGATATTCTATTCATTTACAGTAGATTTGTAATCTAATATTTTCAGTGTTCCCTTTTTACAACGCGAAAAAATGATAACAGACAAGCATTGAAATTTCAATTATAAATAAATTCATCGAATGGAAATGCGCACTAGACCAATCCTTAATCCCCATCCCTTCCACTCACCCCCCCCCCCCCCTTTCAAACACATCGTATGCAGTGACTCTGTAAGTTAAGTAATTAACTATAAAAGGCAGATTATCAAAAACTATAAAATATTATTGCAGTGCATTTACGCACTGTCTAGAGTGACCAATGAACCCTGTCATCTGTAATGGCATTATTATATTTGATCAATACGCCCTCGTTCAGTAGTAATGGGGGTCATCGGATTTCACGGTGTTTATAGAATTAAATAAACTATTTTGAAATAACATTGATGGCAAAGCAAAAAATTAAATCAATACAATTGTTGTGGAGCGTATCCATAATAGACTGCAAAAGTGATTAAAATAAATCTATTTATAGATGAAGTATTGTTTAGATTGTAAAGACTTGCGTAGTTGATGGTCATGAACATGCCCTCCTTTGTGATTGGATTAGTTCATTTGATATAAAAGGTTTTTTAGCATGAAAATGCTTGCAGACTGCCTCGAACACAAGTCTATAGATAGATGTTCTTACTACAGGAAGTTTTTATTTGTTTGGGTCGTCAGACCAAACAAATAATGGTAGCGAAATGTCAGAGTCTAATGTTGTTAATTGCAAACGCCGAAAGTAGTCCACTTTTTTGAAGCGGTTACTTCCCTTTATATGTACACTAACCCCGAAAAATTCAGGGGAGATCACTGCGTAAAGATGGTCAAAGACAGGCGAATTAATTTTCAAGCAAAATAATTCCCGAATGGTCGAAGATTTCTAATATTGTTTTATTGTATTTTCTGATCGAAATTAAGTAGATACAAAGCGGACATTCAACCTCTGACACAGAAGTTCATAACAAACCTAACAACAAGTAGTTCTCAAAACAGCTTAAAACTAGCGATTTAAAGAAAAGAATATTTTATTTTGTTACAAGTATCGAACAAATAACAACGCATTCAAAGTTTAAAAATAGAGTTGGCTAATAGAATTGTCAATAAATGCACAATCACAAAATTACGCGGATGAATATGATTTTATCAATGAAAATACTATTTTTAGCGCTGTCGATTACCGAATACTACACAAACCGAGTAGTGGAATATATAGATTCTACATGTCGGACTGTTTGGGCGAGAAGATTTTTCGCTAAAAATTATTTTACTTCAATTTTAAACAACAGGTTTATCCTGAACAAAATACCTCGAAATTAATAAGGATAACAAACCCAAAATGCAATGGAAGTTTCTAAATATAGAATGACCTGATGTTATTCAGATATTATGTATAAACTTCTCCGTGGTGCAGGGGTAACGCGCTCGCTTCAGGAGTGAGAGGTCTGGAGTTCAAATCCAAGTCGAGGAAACTTTTTTTTTAAATTCCTTTTTTTTGAAGTGTCTTTGTTAAGGAAAGTAGCCATGATATGCAAGGATAAAGTGTGACTGTCGTAAAAAAAATGAACATAAAAATGATTTTTTTGATGCATCTCTAGTTATGCAGAATTCCGTATGTATTCAAACTCTGGTGCCTTGCAAAATGAATTATAATACATAAAAATAAACTTATACAGGAAATGCATACAGATATACAGTACGATTAGATTTCAAAGATCAGAAAATACCACAGAACTTGCATCCCTTTGATTATTTATAAATATACATGCTTATAGAAGCTCCAGGATTATTTACATCTGTGTTAAAACAACAGTTAAAGTCTTTTACAAGCCCTAATTTAGAATAATATGATTTTCTTCATTCGCCGTTCACATATAAATTCACCGTTGCTGAAGGGTTTTTCGCGCTCGCCTATGAAGCGCGAGAAGTCTGGAGTTCAAATCCTAGTAAAGCAAAACCATTTTTTTTTTTTCAAATTGTTTAAGTCAAATAAACATTGGATTGCATATCAGTGTTGCAATAAGTCTTATAGCCAATTTACTACAATTAAAACGCTGGAAAGCATTGGTGGCACTATACATATAATCCACAACCTGCACCTTTCGTACATTCTGAGACCCAAACAAATTCAGCGCCTTCTGTGCTTTGATTTTAATTTGGTTGGTAAAATTTATGTAAATTACGCAAATAACTATGCTTTTGCTTTGAACTTACTGCCCATTTTCTAGAGAAGCTATCACGTTTCGCCAGTAACCAAAATATTTTGAGCTGCTTAAAATAAGTGACAGCTGCGGGAAATTCCGTGAAAATGTTGTTGTTGTTTTTTCTTTCCTTTTTTACCTCAAGTTTGAAATGAATGAAATGATTTCGTGTTACACACACAGACATTTTACCACTTAAGTTCATAGCAATGACACTGTTGTAATTTGTATAATATAAATTTTGACGTCACTTGCACCGGTAATACGGTGGGCTATTTGGACAGAAATATAAGTGAAAACATATGTTTTCATGTTAAACAACTGGAGTGATATTAAACATTAATGTACAACGCTTTTTTGGGGGGGGGGGTTTAAGGGGGGGCTAGCACCGCCCATTGCTTAAAGCATTAAGTTTTTGTTTAAACTTTTTGAAAATTATCTAAAATAGATAATAAATATACGTATAAATAACTTACCTTGGTTCGAATTCATAGTTGTTTCACCTATGTGTGTGATTTATGTGCGATTTAACAGCGTCTACGGAAACAGAAAAAAATAATGTAAACACAAAATGGTTCGAAAGGAACTATACTAGAGTACATTAGATACGAACATTTTTGGTCGGGAAAAACACAACCCCCCTCCCCGCCCCCACACTTTATTTGTACCTGTGTATTAATCAATTAAGTAAGATTCAAGTTCACATACAAATGTTTAATGGTACTTCACATACAACTGTTTAATGGTACAAGAAGATTTTTTAAGAGACACAATTTTACAATTTTTCATTTTCTCCGAGTGGATAACATATAGAAAGCACGAAATGAATTATAAATCAAAACAAAGTATGCATTTGACGTTGCATTAACACGATTAAGGACGACCTCAGTTAACCTCAGTTGACTATTATTTTTTTCAGACACGAAAAAGCATCCGAGTACGCAGTAACATTTCATCATCAGAAGAGCTAGGATGTCACTTTATGGCTATAAACCCAAGATGATTGATTTAAATTTAATCTGAAAGAAATTAATTTGATTGAAATGAGAGTAAGAATCTTGTAATGCCGCGCCCAGTCCCTAGGTTAACGATAAAGTTTCCAAAAGAATTAATCCGGTAAAAATTTAGGCAAATGCTGTTGAACTAATCTTATAGGGGCAAAACATGAGGTTAAATTATTCTTACCTAAAATCACGGATTTATATTACAGGGATCGGACACTCTCAGTTAACCCTATATAAATGCTTAGATATCTTGGAAATAACAACTTCGCTACCTAAACGATATTGATCAGTTTTACATTTTGAAATTTTAAGAGACATATAATCTTCAAAAAATTTAACATCATTACATTTCAGTGAACTAAGTTCATCAAATCTCAGAAAACCCGAAAAACCTAAAAGAATCATACATAAATCTCTTATAATTAAAATATCTCTTGAATTTTCAAATTCGTTACAAATGCTTATCAATACTTCTGCATTTAAAGGCTCCTTTTTGTTAACTACTTAACGTGAGTTCGTTTTCGCAGATTCTAATAAATTTTTAACAAACAAATTGTCAGTGGGATCCGGAAGTCCCTTTAAACCATGTGCCCATTTAATGCTGTATACAGTCGCTGAAATAACACTAGCCGAATTCATTTTATCCAAAAGATCAGTCAAATATAAAGCTATGTGTATAGGTGACGCAGGTACAGAGTTTCCTCCCTTTTTCTTTGATGAAATTTTCCCACTTTTTAAAATATGACAAATATTAACGTTTGTATTATCACTACGGAATTCGATAGCTGTCCAGCCATTTTACGAGTAAGTCACCAAAACCTTCTGGAGATACACCTGCCTCATATATGTTGTCGATGATAGCCTCTTCTATTTTCAAACCTGAAAAAATAAAACGACATTAAACACCTGTTTCTATTCTTAACGCCATCAACCCAAATTTTAAAGGCCTCCCATCAAAAATACCGTTCCTACCCCTACCACGCCTAGTCAACACGCCAGGCTTGAACTGAAAACTGTCTTTAATAAACGAAGCATAATCTTTTCCGTTCGGAAATATTAACGGCCAATAATTTGCAGATCTCCAAATGGGAACAATCAGCGTACAAGTACACCTATCTGAAATAGCTTTTTCTATGCATTTAATGATAAGCCTAGGTGGTGGAACCAACCAATTCACATGGCCCGTCCATGTTTGTTTAAAAGCATTTATACCGCTTGTATTAGGACACCAAAATCTCGAATTAAAAGCCTGACACTTCGTATTAAAGTCGCAAGCAAACCTATCAATAGAGTGGTGCCCCCATTTCTGTTCAAGTGCAAAAAATATCCAATCAAGCACCGCCCAGTCATCGCTATCACAGCACCTGCTCAAAAAATCTGCCTCTGTATTTATCGACCTAGGTACCCCTTTCAGGCAGTAAAATGATTTCACTTCTTCTGCAAATTTCATCTACATTCAAAGCAATTTTTTGCAAATGCGGCTTAGAACTACCAGTACTGAGAATAACCGGTACGTTTTTATTATCAGTCTTCCATATAACAGATTTCCCCTTTAGACCATTAAGATTACTTAATAGCATCCCTGTTTACACTCTCAAGTTCTCTCCACGTGGAGCTAGTCATACTCTCGGACTCGGACCAACTTCCGGTGACCTCGCTATCGGTCACACCCTCTATATAGCCCCCAAAACCGACGTCACTTGCATCGGTGTGAACACTGTACTCTCGTACATACACGAATTAACTGCATTATCTATATCGCAAAAATTCAATTTTTTAATATGTTCCTTCCAGAACAACATTTTCTGATAAAGCATCAGCATTTATAGAAACAAGAGCATTCCAGCTCGCCATTTGATTCAAACATGCATACATAGCACGTGACCTCAGTCTCACTATCTGTCCTACAACACTTTTCATAGACATTAACTGGCCAATGAGACACGCCAACTTTCGTGCATGAATCAAAGTTGTACCCTCAGTCACATACTTAATAATAGAACATAACAAAATCTCAAAACGTTTTATTCTTTCATCTGTAACAGATATATTGCCTAATTGTGTATCCCAAACAAAACCAAGCCAGACGACAGTTTGAGAAGTTTCCCAAAAACATTTATCGTCTGCTAATAAAAACCCAAATGCCTGCAAGTCATGTCTAATAAAATCACTCAAAACAGAAGATTTTTGAAAGGAAACGTCCCCTCCCATACCATCATCTAGAAAAAGTACAATCCTATGGCCCATAGAGCGCCAATACTTAACAACTTCCCTTAATACTTTTGTAAAGATATACCCTGCTACACATATACCAAAAGGCAAAACATTAAATATGTAAAATGTTTTTTATACCATCTTCTTCCCATGAAAACCCTAAAAAAGTTCGATGGTTTCTGAATATCTCAATATGGTGGTAAGCAGACTTTAAATCAAATGTAAATAAGTAATTTCCAGTAGAAAATAATGATTTTGCTACCGATTGATCTTCAAATGTACATTTTATATTTGAACAAATCAAGATTCACGTGTCTACAATCTAATACCAAACGGGGCTTCCCGGACCTGCTAAAAGCAACGGTTAAAGGATTAACTACATGTGGGGCAGTTGTAACCTCTGTGATACACCCCTTGACCAATAATTTTCTAATTTCTTCCAAAACAAAAATACGATTTTCCAGCGCAGACTTATTATTTTTTAAAAACTTTTTTCTCAGGTAAAACTTTCAAAAGGCAGCTTAAAGCCTTCTTTTATAACCTCTAATACAAAGCTACTTGCGCCTGCTTTTTCCCAATGGGAAATATTTTCCCGCAGTTTGCCAACTGGAGATAGAACCTTTTCATTGTTCTCTCTTGATCTACTATCAAAAACTTTCTTATTTGACCAATTATTCAACAATGAAACAGGATTTACATAAAATCTACTTATCTGAGACGCTTTAGCATCCTGTACCTCCGTAGATCTCATCTTACAGTCCGCCTGCCAATGCCCTGGTTTCCCACAACGAAAACACAAGCCCGGTTTTCGACCTATCGTCTGAATACGTGCGCCTGAAGGTGACGTCACGGCCGATTGTGAACTGGTTGCCGGAACTACATATGGAGCATTCCGCTTAGTCCTGGCCCGTCTTTCCTGCTTGGCTTTACGGTCCGCATGTAGCTGGGCTCGAAAGATCTTCTTTTCATCATCCGAATCTTCGGCTAGCGGGTGTGCCTCGTATTCATTTACAACCCTCCAGCCCAAATCAGTTGAGTCAGCTAACTTAATTAGTTTTTGACGGTGAATAAGAGTGCTCATACCTTCGACAACTTTCTGCCGAACTGCCTCTGCTTTTGACGAACCCTCAGCTGCCATGTCACTAAGCTGACCCTCTGCCTCACGTAGACTGCCCAGCACTTTGAAATTAATCTTAAACTGCTCCTCATTTCCTTTCTTTCGAAATTGATAATTGTCATTGGAAACAAAGCTCTGTTGAAATTTAGCTATCTGAGCCTCAGCAAGCTGTTTCTGCGTTTCACAAATCTTCGTTTCAAAAGCAGCCAACTTATTTGAAACAAGAGCCTCCATCCTAGTCAATAATTGATTTTCTTCCATCTCTAATGCCACGTGGTCCGCACAGCAAATATCAAAAATTGGATAAAACCGACTGAACAATGCGCTAGTGTCCGGTAGACTGAATTAAACCTACTGTAAAACCCCTATATATACTAACACGATATCGCATGCTTAACACGTGCAGATACTATATACATTACAAAAACTGACCATTACAATATTGTGTATACGCATCGTTAAGACAATATTTTCACGTTATACTTGGACGAAACGCGTGAAAATTTTATTCGCAACGGATACCTACTTTACAAAATACCATATAGCTTTTCCATTTATTATCCGATTTTGGAAATTTAAAGTTTATTTTGAAGAAAAATACTTGTTTAATTCAAATATCTAATTTATTTTTTAATTATTATGGAAACGTAATAAATTAAATTTCAAAATGAAAAAGAAGCCAATGTAAGTTATTCACAGAAGATCAAAGATGCAATATTTAAGATTTATTGGGTTATGTAGTCAAATTTAATAACGCACAATTGTTTTACGGGTAATGTATTGCGGGCTTTTCAATTCGCTCAACACGTGAAGAAAATATTCATTTTTTAGTACAAAATATTGCCGAGATTTTAATATTGCCATATTCAACAATATTTAAATTTCATTCATAATTTATATCATTATTATCTGTCGGTGCAGTTAAGTAGACAATCATCGTAACAGTAAAGTAGGCCCTATTCTCGTGTAGCTGTCTCGATTCCGGCCTTTTTAATGTAACTCGTATATTTTAATTATTCTTTTTTTTAATGCCTGTAGAAAGATATTTCTGATATTTTTTAATGTAACACTAGAAAAACAATAAAAATCTTTACAGTTTGAGTCAGTATTATGCGAAATAAAAGTAACTGTTGATTATTTTTTACACATCACGAATTTATATTGTAATATAAATCCGTGACATCGCTTAAATGTCTTTGAAGTTTAATTACTTTTGAAGGGGGTTAATTACCAGGTTACAAGTGATAATTGAAAAAACTTTATTTTCAAACTTTCATTACCAGGTTGCATGTGATAATTGCAACAATCAATCTTCAAAAACAAATAGAATTTGAATGTATATTTTGTATGTGCGCGGACTTAAACTACAGTCCATTGTATGTGTAATAAGAAAACGATTCTGAAGATGAAATATATATATATATACAATGTAAATCTATTTTCTTTATTAACATTTATAAATGAAATTGAAAATATTCAAGTCCTTTCGTTGAAAAAATGAAAATAAACATATGACAAATAAATCATTTGACGGGAATTGTGAAGGATAACTATGAAAAATTCTGCGTCAACATAAAAAATAATATTATAAAACAGCTGTTCTGTATGCCAATAAAAGTTTCTTCCTTGCCAATATAATGAATTCATCTATGTATGAACGCTTTTTTCAATGATCTGAAAATATATTTAATACACTAATTAGTAGAATACTACATTTATACTAATATTCAGGTAATCAAATAAAAGATGTTCAAATCATTTGGAAATAATTCACAGAAAAAAAAGACAAATTTCAAACATGAATTTCTTTAAAAGTTTTTAAGCAATCAAGAAACATTTTTTTGCATTGCAACCATTAAACCATGTAGAAAATAATTATCTTAATCTGAATCGCGGTAATAATTTGTGCTTGAAGTTAAAGGGCGTCAAAGTGTAGAGAGTATGCCTAAACAATAGACGAATATTTTTTAAATTAGGTACTATTTTAACTCAGCGTTGCAGCGTTCTATCGGAATATTTTCATATATTAATACTTTAGCGACACAAAATAATACTGTATAAATACATTAATATGTGTAAAAATTTTCACAAAGCTGCCATAACACCACATACTCTTGTGAAAATCTGTCATATTTCGCACTCCGCGCGTTCCGCCATCTCTCATTCTGTCCACCTTTATCCGATATGCGATTCCGCGCATGCGCGCGACGAGATTTTAAGCTAAACGAAAGTGTCCGATCCTTGTAATATAAATCCGTGTAATATAAATCCGTGCTAAAATATACAGTTCAACTGAGGTATATGCTGTGATAATGATAAATACAACAAAAAAATCCGTATTGCCTTTATGTAACTCCATTTTTAAACCATGTAAAAGTCCTTTATTGGTCACGACTGATAATAAATCTATAAAACACTGGTAATATAGAATAATTGGTTTTAAAAGAACATAAATTCCTACTAAAATAATGTGCGAGAAGCAATTATCTTTTCATACCTTTTCAATTAGTTGCGCCACTTCATGGTTCTAATTGACATTCAAAATGTATAAATTATTCTTTCATCGCAAAGTTGAGAAAGCAATTTGGAGGAACATAATTGTTCATGACTACTTTGCGCATTACCGTCGAATGATTAGAGAAGAGGATAAGAAACGCAATACTGAAGTCGAGGCATTTTTTGGTTTTACAAGCAAAGTCTTGTCAATGTTAGACAAAACGCAGCCAGATCTTAGAGAAATTTAGAGACTTATTATTTTTGGAAATTAGGTATCAAGGAATATTTTTTGAACACATACAAAGCAAAATGGCAAAAGAAAATCTGAATGAAGGAAAGGAAAAGTGTTTTACATCATTATAAAATTAGGAAGAAATATCCGTAAAAGATGTTGATAATCAGAAGTGAATTTTGTGTATGCCAATAGATTTTTTTTGTATGCATTAAGGTGAAAACTACAGGTTTGTGAGAGATGTTTCACTAATTCATTATCCCTCATGTACAGACTCAATTTAATCGAGTATGCAGTTTTCATGTTATTTTTGTTGTGATTAATTAATGCTTCCGAGGTATCATATTGTTTCAAGAAATTTTACAACGACTGTATATGCTAGGAATATAGGCCTGCATTCCAGGTGCCTTGTTTTTTTTAAATGAATTATCAGTTAATTTGAACGTACACATATAAATATAAAAAAGGAAGTGGCGGCATGGCCGAGTGGTAAACGTGTCGGACTAGTAATCTAATGATCGCTAGCCGCATGGGTTCAAACCCCGTCAGGGGCAAGTCGTTGTTTCCTTGAGCAAGAAACTTTACACTCATTGCTCAGTACTGGTTGGTTCCAGGAACGGATTCGAAAGTGTGTCTATAAGCTTATAGCTTCCTACACAATCGAACTAAAATAAATTCTGTATAAACCAAATATAAAAAAGTTGTTTTATCAACAGAATGATGTGTACAATGTAAATGTAAGAAGACCTTATATGTGTAAAAATAAATGTCATTAAACACCTAACAGAGGAAGCTCTAATGAAGTGCAAGCTGTCGAATCTAATAATGCAGCAATAAAATCCCTATTGAATTGACGAAAAGCCATATTTAAAGCGGACTAGAAGAAATACATTTGAAATGACTGCGTATAAATGAACATAAATATAACAACTGGCGTTGACAAGACACTAATTCCGATTTAAATAGTGCTCAAGTAAAACAATTAGCTCGAAACAAATCGTCTTTAATTAGTTGCGCCACTTCATGGTTCTAGTAACCTTTAATAAAATTTTAATAATGATTTCAATGACAAGAGACGAAACTAACACTCAGCTGAACTTAGTACCAGACCTAATTTGAGTATCCACATTAACAATGCGTGTTATTTGAAGGTTTGCTTATGCTTTGATTAGTAAAATCGATGAAAAATAACAAACAATCAGTGACTTGTATCGTTAAAATTTTATCCTTTCAAGTATAGCCTAATCACTAGAGACAAAATTATGCCTAGTTTCAATATTGATAAATTTTGCAGGTATCGAATCAAGAAACAGTTAGTGAAATCATGTTTTTTTCTCATTTGAAAATAGGGAAATAAAAATGAAATTTATTGTAATTAGTAATATAATACATCCGATTGGAATATTGGTACAATCATTATAATTAAATGCCGTAGCTGTCAATAATAAATCGTTGTTATCACGTAAGGAAATCAAAGTGCTGCAAGCACTGGATGTGACGGACATGAAAAGGGAATTGCATACATAAGATGGAAAATGACATGAACTCATCAATAATGAAATAACATCTGCTGCTCAACACAAGCATGGACATTTAAACTTAAACCAAAAACATGTACATTAAATCAAATTTATTGATCGTGTATGCGACCAATCCTTGAATACACCTTTACTGTTTGGAACAGTCATAGTGTAATATAATCATGAGCAGCGCGTATAGTCACATACCTTACTTGAAAGGTATCTATAGAACGTCTTCTTCGAGCACTAGGTTGGGTATCTTTATCAGATAAATGAATAATGCAATAATAAATATTAGTGTCCAGCTTTATTTGTCACCCAATGAAATTGACCAACAGTGATTGTGCCGGTTTGTTAAATAATAGTAGTAATAATAATAATAATAATAATAATAATAATAATAATAATAATAATAATAAAAGTAATTGAACAAATAAATAAGAAAGAAAGGCAGAAAACCTCTTTTGCTCACAATATCTCCATAGACTGAATATGACACAGCGGAATGCAGGAACTAAAAAGTTTCCTATCAGGTATTGAGATACATCGTGTCTTCAAGACCATTAAAGCGCCCTCAGCTTTTATTTTCTTCAGAAAAGAAATTTTGTGTAGTTTCAAACTACGTAAATCTTTGAAAAGTGAGTCATAACACTGTAAACCTTACTCAAACAGCGTCAAGAGTGCTATTTATAGCGCGAAAATGACGTTCATCTCTGAAAAATATATTATCGGTAATCTTAATGTTCCATCTTTTTTCATTTGATTTGACATTTATTTTGAACGATTTATCTAAGGATTACATATTAAATATTCAGAAAAATCTGAAGGCCACTTAAAAAAGTGGGGGAAAACATGATTTACTGAAGAACAATGAATTTGATTTATTTCAAAACAGTAAAAAAGATCAAGTCAGGAATTAAACAAACAAAAATCGAATTTAATATACAAAAAAATAGTTAAACCAAATTTATTATACATAATGTAATACAATAACAATGGTATATAAAATGAAGCTTTTGCAAAATGACTGAACCAAACATGTTTATATCACAATACCTGTTTCTATTTTATACGTAACTTAGGAGTAGGAAATAATAATTATTATTATAAGTATTGAAAGTTAACAAGGGTTGAGCAATTTGATTAATATTATAAAATAGTATGATCTATGGTAGTGTTACAAGAAGTAATGTTATTGACTTCTTTTTTGTAATTTATATGATTATTTAGAGCGTATTCGTTCTGGGCACTTGTATGATTATTTGTAGTTGTTTTTTTGTTTGTTTTTTTTTGTTTTTGTTTTAGCGCTCATTATTTGTTTTGCTGATGTCTTCTGTCTGCGTTCATGTATGATTGTTTGATTTGCGGATGTCTTCTGACATGTTCGTGTATGATTATTTGTTGTATTGATATCCTTGTATAATAAGTTGTAGTGCTGTGTCTTCTATGATTAGGTGCAGGTTTACGTTTTCTTTTCTTTCTGCCATGTGTAGTAATGAGTAGTGCTGTTCTGTGCTGTTCTACTCTGTCCTGTGCTCTTGCACGATTAGTAGTAGTGGCGATTTCTGTTTGCATGTCCTTCAAAGTACATAAAGTCCTGAAAATGAATTATAATATATAAATACGGATGATGATGATGATGATGATGATAATATTGATAATGCTAGTGATGATCATGTTGATAGAGTGTTGTTGATGATTATGATGATGATGATTAATTGATGATGATGATGATTCAAACAGAAATTATGTACTACAATTATTTTCTATACAATAAACCTGCCTGGTTATTATGATATTTAAATATGATCAACCGAATTTGAAGAAAAAACGGCAAGAATTACGTTAATGCCACTGACAATGAAATTTGATTTAAATAGTTTCCAGTGAAAACAAATAAATAATAGCAACATAGCAATGTAAAATTACAACATAGGTAACATGTTGTGGCCTGACCAAGTGGTAAACGTGTCGGACTAGTAATCTTGTTCGGGGCAAGCCGTAGTTTGCTTCAGCTAGAAAATTTATACTCATTGCTCAGTACGTGTTAGTTTCAGGAACGAATTCTATTAACGTATAGTTGCCTACACAATCAAACTAAAATAAATAAATTCTGTATAAACATTAGAAAAATTAACCATAACAACCATGCTAGTGTACTATGACAGCAACAGCAATGATAGCAATAACACCGCTGGAAGAATGTGAACAATGATTGCAACGTCAATTTTAGCGACAGCAACGGTAGCAAAGGCATGGATAGCAACAGCATCGATCGTGACAGCATTGATTTATAACAACAGCAATTAGCATTATGATGACATTAGCAGTGATAGCGACGGTAGTTATTACATTTCAAACATCAACGATAGAAACAAGATGATATTAACAATTCAAAGAAAGAAACACAACAATTCAAAGAAATTAACAGCAATAATTAAAACAAGAATGATCGCTCCAAATGTTTCAGCAACAGCAATGATAGAGAAAACGGTGACAATAATTTAATGGCATAAGTAATATATTTAACAGTAGCAAAGATAGTCACATAACAACAACAGCTGAAACATCAACTTTGGTAACTTACAATAAGAATTGTTGCGCCAATGATCACGGCTTTCATTTTGACATCTAATTCCATGGGAACTGCAAAGATATCACAAGGAAGGAATAGTAGATTTAGTTCATAAATGCCGTTACAAACAGTCAAAAATATGTTATAACATTTACAATTCCTGCACCAATACCATGTTAAATAAGAAGCAATACATGTGTTTAATTATTAGTGAAATAAGGATGGGGTCGCATGTGAAAGGGAATAAAAATACATGTACTGAATTAGGTAAAGAAATAAGAAAGCATCTTTATTTTTTTGTCAAGATCAATTAGCTAATGGCTATGCGCATATACCTTAGCTATTAGATCATTTTTTCAAATGGTAAATCGGTTCTAAGACATATTTTATTAAACATTTTGTTATCATCATTCTGTTTATCTGATGCTTTGAGACATAAACGTGAAGGCAAAACAACGGAGTAAATTGTCTCAGACGTCGTGACCATTATCCCAACACAGATAAAGTCATTACTGTCAAAATATTCTCGGGGGTAAATTGTAGATCGGAAAAGAATAATAAATTAATCCCTGGTCATTTGGAGGTCAAAGCTCTAAAGTATATAACAAACAATTCAAAGCGCTTCGTTTATTATCCAAAATTCTGTTTTCGAAGTAAGGCAGAAATTTCAAAAACGTTTCGATAAATTTGTAACTATATCAAAATGCCAGCAGAAAAAGTGTTACATATTTTGTACTTACACGTTACACAAAAATTATCTGCCGACGTGAACATTTCTTGAAGAAGATTGGTCCATTGCTTCTGAATTTTCCCAATTTCTGTTTCACCATCGGTTGCGGAGTAAATCTAAAACAGGTCAGTTGCAAAATTAAGAATGTTTACTGAATTGGCATCGACCAACCAAAACTGAACGGTATGTAACCATTATGGAATGAGAAATCTGACTGTTGTGAAAACGTTTCCTTAAACATGCTGATTTTCAGGAAATTTTTTAAAAGTATTGTAAAGAAAAATATTGCAATAGTGAATAAAGAAAGTAATTAACACATTGCAAATGGCACCTACAATCAACTTAAATTACAAAAATGAGGTCAAAATATGCAAGAATAGCACTTACTGTATTAGACAATCATGCTTACGCAGTAGAAATCTTGTGATAAATGCAAATACTGTAAAATCTATTAAAATTACTTGTATCTTGTATCTTTTTACTATTTCTTAAATCTAAGTACATTTTTCTCAAGTTTGACATGCAGCTTTAAAATCGCCAGGTTTACATTACGTCTTTAAATTGTCCGCATTGTTTCTTACTAACAAAATATATAACATTAAAACGTGCGATTTTAAATTCAATAAACGGTTCGTAACAAATTATCTATAGCTACTGACTTCAAACAGATCAAAAAAGTTAGAGAAAATAACAGACAAATTAAGGACGTGCATACATCAACCGAAAGAGAGAAATTAATAAAGGTCAAAAAGCTGTTAAAAATTGCAAGAAATTACGGAGGAGAAATTAATAAAACAGGGAAATATAGAGCTAATATAGAAACAAAACTTAAATGAAATAAAGGGTAAATAAAGAAAATTAACTGTGAATAGGGAATGGGCACATAAAGAAAATAGAGGGCAAATAAAGGAATAAACAAATAAAGATAATAAGGCCAAATAAAATAAAAAGGCAATTAAAGGGATTAGAAAATATAGGAAATAAAGGTCAATTTAAGGAATAAACAAGTAAAAGGTACGGTAAATAAAGGAATAAGTGAGTCAAAGAACTAATGGGAACCAGTAAACACTTATAAGCAAACATCGGACATCACCAGTGAAAATAGGAAAACAAAAATAATTATTAAAGAGCACATAAACGAATCGACAATTTATCAATGAAATAAAATGTAGGAAATACTAGGTATATACAAAGTATAATCAAAAAGTTCTAGTTGCGATATACTTTTAGCCACAACACGAACACGTCGATACCAATATCTAATTGAAGATTTCTGACCGAGTTACACGCGGGTTTACACAGATTTAGTAACATAAAACACACTTTGATCAGTAGAGGTGTGTGTTATTTAGACCAAATTGAGAAAGTTGAAATCAGAGCCGTCATTAAGTACCTATGTAAGACAAGAATGTCCCCCAAGGAAATCCATGAAAACTTCATGGATAAACTTTGGAAGGAATCCCCTTCCTGAAACTCTGTGACAAAATAGGCTGCTGAATTTAAGAGGAGCAGGGAGAGCACTGGAGATGAGGAGCGGCCTGGGCGGTCAAAAGAGGCCACCAACGATGAAACTGCCTAAGCTGTGCACGCTCTGGTCACGTGCGACAGAAGACAAGATCGGCGAAGCATTGCTAGGGAAGTGAGTATAAGGTTTCCGCTAGATGGGTCGCCAGACAGTTAACTGACGACATTAAACCGTCCAGGCTTGACATTTAAAGATATCTTTTGTCTCGCTACGAGGATGAACCTGATCTTATCTACCGGATCGTAACTCAGGATGAAACATGGGTCCATCACTTCGATCAAGAAATCAAAAAACGGCATGCAGTGGAAGTGTCCTGGCTCATCCCCTCCGAAGTAATTCAAGAGGGTGAGATCAGCAGGGAAGATGATGGCTTCAATTTTTTGGGATAGTCAGGGGATAATGATTGACTATCTTGAGTAAGGTCGTACCATAAACGGTGCATACTATACAGACGAATTTTGACGTCTACGTCAAAAAATCTCGCGTAAAAGGAGGGGCAAACTAACTCAAGGCGTTCTGCTCCTGCACGAAAATGTACTAGCTTACACATCCCAAGTTGCGATGACTGCTTCAATTGACTGTGGCTTTGAAATTCTTCTCTCACCACCCACCTCCTCCCATATTATCCGGACTTGGACCCTCTGACTTCTACCTGTTTCAAAAACTGAAAACCGAGCTTCGTGGTAGACGTTTTGGAAGCAATGAAGGTGTCATGGAGGCGGTCAATGAATTCTTTGAGGACCAAAATAGAGAGTCTATTTTGAATAGTTAAACAAGTTGGAGCACAGGTTGGTAGAGTGCATTGATGTAGATGGCGATTTTATTGAAAGTAAAACCATAAGTTTGGTTCTCTGACTACCGGATGTACATCGAGCCAAGTTTTTGAATCAATCCTCGTACATGTAGTATAAAATGCTTACTTAAGTTTTCATCTTAATTCTTTAAAACGACTTAAAGTTGATTGCATGTTTTTTTGTTCTTTATATGGACTATAAATGAACTTCTTACTTTAAAATTGACTTCATCACGGCAGCATTCGCAGACGCAACATGGACCTTCTATGAAGAAAATGTCCTTTTCGTCTGCGTCCATTATCTTATACTTCGGAGTCTTGAAACTTTGTCTGAAAATAATAAGCCAGATAAATATTTTAAGATTGGTTATTTTAAATTGACCAGCAAAACAACATCAAGAAAACAGAAATTAGATTATTCCCGTCATGATTTACAGTGTTTAAATAAATGTATTATATGTAATTAAAGTTTAGTAATTTTGTTTTGTCAAAGTCATATGGTGACTTTCCAGCTAAAATAGAGAAAAAAACACGGAAGCATCTTAAAATATTGCCCCAACCGCCCACCCTACCCCCTTAAGAAACCCGACCTTCCATAAGCTAGAGTTTCTTCACATGAAACAATCAAATGTTACTGACGGTATTTGAACCAACAGCAGTGAGGGCCGTGTGATAATAAGTCTGCAAACTTAAATACTCGGCCAGGAGGAAAACACATTATGATGATTAAAATAAGGCAAAACAAAATGATCTTGTTTTATCTTAAAATGTGAATAAAAGGAATTGTTCATGTAAATTATTCAAATACAAACCAAATGTTGCTTATAAGAGACCAAGAAATTCACAATAAAGCCGAGTTCATTCTTATTTAAATGTTAAATCTTCCATGATTGGAACATTATCTTAATGTTGTCAATCTCTTTGTACTTACTGTAGTATTTTTGATGAATATAATATTTTTTCAAATGCAACTATACCTAAAGAATTTCTTATAAAAGTGGTATTTCATATATCTGTCAAGATGTCATTAACTTTATTACTTTAAAAAGATTTTTTCATTCATGTCAATAGATAAAGTGAAGAATAACTGGTAAAGATAATTAATTTAAAAGAAACTTCATGGTTGTATAAGCTTAGTACATTTAATCATAACAGCATGAATCCTAAAATACTTCATAAAATTTTGTACACTAAAAAAAAAATCTCCTATTTTTTAATTTTTTTTTTATAACTCAAAACTTATTTCATGTCAGTATGCACTTAATGCTGGTCTTCCATTTTATATTAAGTTTTAACTAATTCTTAATCAGTATAATAAGACCCTACATATTGCATTACCATTATCATTATCATTAAATTAAATATTACTTAACAAAACTATCAAGTAGGAAACAAATAAAGTTAACTGATGAATAAATCATATTTTGACATAACAGTAACAAAATTTTGATAAAGGCGAAATCTAACCTTTGCTGCACGTAACCGATGACAGTGCCCACGGGAGCCTCGACGGCAATTTTGTGGGCACAACTGTCTGAGAAGGCACACCAGTTCGATTCTTGCCAACACCGGAACTCGCGCTGTAGCCTGATAACCTCCTAAAACGAATGTTTGATTTTATGTTGTGATTAAGATATGAAAGGCTTATCATCAAAATCAACTCTCGTAATTGAAATAACTTCACATAATAGAAATACATTTGCCTACATAAGAAATCCCTTTTTAGCCGTTATCCTGTCTTTGACAGCAAATTAGGGCCAGGCAAATCTTCACCTACTTGCAATTTGACAATGTTCTTTATTGCTTGTATCTCAATTATTTTACTAGTATTTAGATATTGAAATCCCTTAACTTTCGAATCCACTTTCAAAACAATCAATAACTTGTATTTAAAATAAGCCGGACTGCTCGTTTTGTATCATCATGACCTAGGTCAGCCTTGTCAATAAATTATACAGCAGCAATTTGCCAGATGTTGAATTATTTTTAAGCGATTTCAAAGTACTTTCTATAAATAATTTGGTTGTCTGTAAATTCTGCAATATCCATCAATTTTGTAACTAAGCAGCTTCTTGCCTTAAATGTTAGAGCAATCGGATTACCACGGGTGATTTCAGTAAGTCTTTTTTACGGAGAAGACCGATATATTACGAGTGTTTACCGGAATGCTTCAAGGAATCGTTGACGTATATTTAAAATTTGAACTGAAGACCAAATCTATTTAGATTCCAAAATACAAATCGTTGCAGCGTTCGAAATTTTATCTAATGGTTAATGATAAAATTAATAATAAATCCTACCTCAACAGATGGTAAGATTAATTGTCTATAATAAAGATCTTCAAAGCTATACAACAATTGCATTCAGATAGTAATTCTATAATTAATGAATCATCAGGTTTCCCTTTAAAATATTTTTTTCTCCAAATGAATCACTAGCAGAATTTATTTACACACACTTATTACTGGACTATACGCTTTGATATAATTGTTTGTATTGACCAATTAAGGGCATCGTTTAAGGGGTATGAAATTATATTCGTTTTGAACAATACATAGTTTATTGAAAGCATACATATTCCCGTCCCAACCACCCTCTTTATGTTCTGTTTTATTTTTACAGTCTTTACTTAGTTTCAGATATTTTCAGTTGATTTTATCATGACTGCGCCGAAATTCGAGACAGCCCTTTTTCCAGCAGATGTTTTTAGCAATAGACTAGAGAAATGATTGTTCTTGAAGTGTTATAATTCTGTCAAATGCAACGACCTAAACCTATAATGATTGTTGCTGTTGTTGTTGTTTAGTAGAAGTATTTGAGAACAGAAAATAATTGATTTATTCACGGTCTAGTGAGTAAAACCCAATAGGTTCGGCCGTTGATAGCAAGGAGGGAGCATTAAGGAAACTACAATGCCCTAAAATTGATGAAATAACTGTGGTTCATTCGTTTATCTCCGGGAAACACAATATACAACATAAGTCACTTACGTGGTCCAAGTTGTCGGTTATATGCATAGTAAATGATCTGTTTTGTCGACAACACTGTCTCATACAGTCCTCTGACTCTAAAAGTAAAAGGAAACTTAAATACGAAATAACTGTTATTTACTAGTGAAGTTGTTTTCTCCGAATTAATTAATGTTACGTCATATTTGAAGGTTAAATCTTATAGAAGGCTGTAAAAAAGTTTGAATAAAATGCTTAATTACAGTTGATGCTTGGGTTTGAGCTGATGGTGCATGATATTCCCCCCTTTTGTGCAATATCTTCGGTACAAACATGCACCTGAATAGAACCACTGACATTCCGTAAGCTAGCTGAATAGCTTCCTCACATAAAATAATCCCTGTCAGGACTCGAACATACAGCGATGAGAGGTGAGTGGTTTGAAGTTATTGCCCTTGACCACTCAGCTCGAATAAAACTATTTAAAGTGTGATTTATTTAATCCCATAATGCAAATATTTTACTAACCCTCTGCCGCAAAATAAATTTGTTGGCCCACAGAATTAAGAAGTCTATAACTATTCAACCCTTCAAAGTTCGATATCACTGAAATTGTAAATGAATTAACGATAAATGTAAATATCAATATATAGATAGATATTATGGTTACACAGACACTGTAAAGGTCATGAAACAATATACATATACAACTTAAATCTTTACTGTTGGAAATTAAAAATATCAATTTATCGTCTTGGCGTGTACCAACGAGCCAAGACTGCCCCCAATTTATCTATCGTGCTTTCAATTTATTGCATTAATGTGCAATCACATTCAGTATGTGGTGTTGTTGTAGCACAGATATTCTAATGCGCCATCAACAGGACGCCAGGGTCAAGCTGATACAATATTGAGGGTTGGGTATCGTGATCAGTGATCAATCTACGTATTATCATTAGTTGCCTTTATCAATATAAGCCTTTAGGGGAAAATCAAGGAATAAGATAAAGACGGGGCTTCATTAAACTATTAGAATTTAAAAATAGTCAATTTTCATAAAAATTTCGGTTCAAAAATTCATTTTGTTTTAATTGACTTTGATTAAACTACGTATAAATTTTAACAAAGGAATTTTAACAGGTGATATTGAATAATAGTGAAGCTGTTTTCAAAGACCACAAATGTTACCACAGGTTTTTCTTACAATCATGACTAGTAAAACTTATTTCTCTTTTGCCCAAGTTATTTGTATAAGAATTGTATATTTACATTCTATAAGTTCAATTCTTTGTTTGATGAGAATTTGGTCTATCCCGGCTAGATATGCTAGTCCCGGGGGACAATTTGGTGCTCCTGTTGCTGGTTTTGGCATCCTTACCGCCTTGGGAGACTGAGCATTGGCCGTAATACCTACAAATATTAGCGTTTAATGTAACGTTAATAGAAGTTGTAAATAAAAGGATCTGTAGATATCAAAAGACACATATAATTAAAGAATCTGTTGATATCAAAAGACACATACAATAAAAGGATATGTAGATATCAAAAGACACATATTTGTACCGTGCCATGTACAGACAAATATAAATAAGAGGTATGTAGTAAAGGGTTTAATATTATGTACAATAGGTTGGTTATCCAATATTTTACTTGATAGATTATCACGTGCCATTGTATGATATCGTCTTGAAAAAAACATCACCAGGGAAACAAGAGCCTGAAGGTTCAAATATTCATATATTAATCATAACACTCAGAAGTATCTTAACTGGGAGAATTATTTTAAACAACATTAAATGCCTGCATGGTATATTATCTTATAAATCTGCTTTTTGGTTCTTAATCAGTTTAATTATTTAGAAGTGTGCATATGTAATGAATTATTGGAGTATGCAACATAAGTTTTCATTTTACAGTCATTTCTCACTTTATATCACAAACATACCTCTATACATAGCTTGTTGTCCGGATTGCCCTGCATATTGTTGTGTATTCACGGCTTTCCGGCCAGGTTGGGCGGTCACGACTTGCTTGGCAGGAGCGACTTTAAAACAGAATCATATCATTTTAATAACTGTATGTGTTAAATCATTTAAACATTTCACTACATTTCCTGCGTAAAAATCTTTTAAAATGCAGGAGGGGAAATATACGGTGTCATGATCGTGGCATTTAAATATCGGATGACGAATAAACACCACGACATGGTCACTTTATAATTCGCGTAATTCATCGGGAAATGAAAAAATTGGGTTAGTCCTACGAGGATACTTTGCTTTAAGATATTCTATTCATTTACATTACCATTTTTGCACTGTTGCACTGTTCGTGTTTGTTGAAGACATTTTCAATAATTTTAGCACGCTTTTCATTAATATAAATATGGAATGAAATACCCGTTTAAATATCAGGCAAGCATTGAGATTTCATTTGTGAATGGAAATGCATACTAGACCAGTTATCTACCTCTGCAATGAAGTCGTATGCAGTGATTCCGTTCGGATATAAGGCAAGTAATTAAGTACTTCTTTTAATGAAAGTCAGATTTTGAAAACCTATAAATCATTACTGCGGTACATTTACGTACTATCTAGAGCGCGCCAATGAACCCTGTGATCTATAACGACACGTCGTAGTGATTGTAATGCTATCTGATTAATATGACATCGTATACGTACGTATACATACGACAGCAATAATGTGGTAATCGGATTTCACAGTTGAAACGAATTTAACTATTTTAGAATAACTCTGATTAAATCTATACAAGTGTGTTTGAGCGTGTCCATAATATAAATAAAAGGTGATTAAAATAAATGTAGATGAAATATTGTTTTGATTATAAAAACAGTCTGCTTTGTGATTGTTTAAGTTCATTCGTAGTTAAAGGGTTTTCAAAATTAATCTAATTTAATGGAGTGGCTTGTCAGAAAGTATTGATGTGCAGTCTGGCTTTATTTTATACTTGGTCATGCCTATTCATACCGTATTACCGACACCGGTGATGGCAGAAATATATAAAATTTACTAATTACTACAGGTAGGTTATGGATTTGGTTAGTATATTATATTACGCAAATGACGGCTTTGCCATTACTATGAACTTGCTGCCCATTTTCTGGAGATACAATCAGATATTGTTAGACAAGTATGAATAACTAACCTCGGTTTGACTTCATGGTTGTTTTCCTTGTGAGTGATTTATGTATGATATATCAGCGTCTATGGAAACAAAAATTAATTAAGTTAAAACACAATAGTTCGAAATGAAGTATACTACATGTCAATACATATGAACATTTTCTCTTGATATATTGCACTGTAAGTAAAAGACAATGCTACTCTTTTTACTTCTTAAATCTACCTGGGTATTAATAAATAAGATTACAGTTAAAATAAAACTGTTTATTTTACGATGATTGTGACAGTTCCGTTCAGTTTGTGGATGTTGGGGATCCTGTGAAAAGTTCAACCCTAAGGTCGCTAAAACTAAAAGAAACATACTTATACTCCATCCATGAACACCAACCGTGGTAACAGAAGTACAGCTAAGACCTTGACAGAGGATGTTCATAGCCACATAATAAATTTGGAGCGAGGGAAATTGGTAATAATGAGGAAACGTTAACAGGTGCGCTGAGGTACTTAAAAACATTTTAGTAACTTTAACTGATCTTCTTTACTGTCTTGGAGCCAACAATCAAGAATTGACTAAAGAATTACAAAACTGTAATATTTGATATCTTTAAGTCTTAATAGTGTCAGTCAGTAGTTTTAATTATTTTCTCACTTTGACGTGATATAATTATATATGCATGATCATAAAAAACCAATGATTTTATATAATGCCTAAAAAGTGAAGAAAACAACAATTTCAACTATTTTGATTTCAACGATGTGCGGGAAGCTTGCGCTCTAAAAAATATTACGCCGGACATTTAACATCTGCGCAAACAAAAAATAATTCAAATTTATTGTCACCATCGCGGTGTAATTTTTAACTGTTTATGAAATATGATGATATTTGAATGAAGGATAATATGCCATAAAGAGCGAAACACAACAATAACTTATTATTTAGTTATCTGAATTAATCAAGGCATTCAAGTTCAAGTATATTTGGGACACATAAAATAACCCACGAGAAATGTTTTCACCCTCTGGAACCTCAAATATATAGAAAAATGACAACTTAAGTTTCCTTTACGTTAGTAGTTTTTGTGCCCTTTGGAAAATTTAGTATTTCGATTTTCGAGCCAGCTCGAAATTTAGAACCAGCTCGAAATTCGGCTTTTGCATATTCTGAATTCCGATCGTCGAGCAAGCTAAAAATTCAACTGCAGCTCGAAATTCGGCTTTTACAATTTTTTGATCTTCGCGCAAGCACGAAATTCGGCAATTGAAAATATTGAATATTGATCTTCGAGCCAGCTTGAAATTGAACCACAGCTAAAAATTCGGCTTTGGAAGATCCTATATTTTGATCTTCGAATCAGCTAGAAATTCAACTGCAGCTTAAAATTCGGCTATTGCAAATTCTAAATTTTGATTTTCGATCTGCGATATCAGTTTTAACTTCTCGATTCAATGTTATTGTTTTTTTTTTCTGATACAATGTCAGAAGTAATGTAAGCAAAAAAAAAGAGTTTCAGTTAAGTAATTGCGTACAGGTCGGTATAGGCAAATGTGTTGAAACTTCACACAATAATCTTAAAGCATTATAGCAGGTCACTTTACATAGCTTGTTGTCCGGATTGCCCTCAATATTTTTATATTTTGATTGCTTGCCGACCAGGTTGGGCGGTCACGACTTGATTGGCAGGAGCGACTTTTAAAACAGAATCCTATCCCATCTGTATGTGTTAATCATTAAAACATATCACTACATTTCCTTCCCATTATTCTAATGGGGTTTTTAACAAGACATTCAAAACATTCAACAATATCCAGGCTCTTGTTTTTCAATCAAGTACTGAGAATATTGCCCTTGTTCATAGATAAGTTGCGAGATATAACACTTCGAAGGACTTTCACTATAGGCGCTGATACACGCTGAATGGACAATATAGTAGGTTATCAATGACAAATTCTAATAAATCAAAACAAAAATGCATTATCATTAAAATTTATTAGTGGAATAATTGCCTGACAGTCGACGATATCGAATTCATGAAAAAAATTGAAACATGCAAAGGAAAATAATAGTGCTGGGGAATAGACCAAGCCACTTTGTTATTGATTGTATAATCATTATTAAACCATCATTTATCACTGTTTTTCATTCACAAGTCATTGTTTATCATTCAGTTCATCATACATAAATCAACAAATCAATTTCAAGTTCGACTCGTACACAACAAGTCCAATGGCAGATTGAATGACCAATCGCCGAATTAATGATTACTGCTAGATCTAACTGTTGGGGTTCAATCACAAACAGTATTTAACACAATGTTTTATATCTTTCTTTAACTTAAATTGAATTATTTTTAGTTAATAAAACACTGCGTCGAAAAATTCTGCCATGGACAATCCTCAATTTTCTAATGTCGACTGTCGACGAACTGGAGTTAGTAAACTATTTCATTTGTTGGTCGTAAGGTGCCACTCACAAGTAACTGCAAATATAAAGAAAAAACAACAGCAGAAACAGAAATATAGTATACATTGTATAAATTTTTAATTTTCTAT